GCAGACCAAGTAATTGCTGGGACCTAAGTGACAGCAAAAGATAGTCAATAGATAGGAAGACCATTAAGGACTGCTTGGATTACTCGTGTTTTGCAAGGCAATTCAAGAGTACATTCTCTCCATTAACATTTCACTTAAACTATTCTTGAATATCAGAACACGTCTGGATTCACCTCTTCACAAGAGGCATATAGCCAAAGTTTGTATCCAGCACCATGCTTACTTATTTACAGCCTATTCTGAAAAAAAGATTAGTTCACTCAATCAGAGATTTTAATACATTTATATGGTGCAATGGTGTATAAGTTTATTGACTGTGATTACATGATGTGGAATAGAGAGAAAGCTATCTTGGATGAATGTATTGTTATTTTATATGAAATTCATGATGCTATTAAGTTTTTGGTCTCATATACTGTGGAGTATAGAATTTCAGAGATAAACTATCTTGATGTTTTCATTTCAAAGACAGGTAATAAGTAGAATACAACAATTTCCTGGAAACCCTAGACAGGAATAATCTGCTTTATGCAACCAGTCACCATCCTGAAACTCTTAAAAAGAGTTTTACTTTATAGCCAGTTCAAGAACCTGTAGAATTTGCAATTATGGCACTGGCTGTAAGGCAGAGATGGATAATCTGCCTAATATGAGTGGAATTAAAAAGAGGAATATATCATGGAAGTAAATAGCATTTTCATTAAGGGAGAATGGCAGGGGATTTATGTAGTATGAAGTATATAAGAATAAGGAATTTTGCTTTTTGATGTTATGCTATTGATCATTCTTAGATCATCATCTTAAGAATGATGACACTATTCAGTCTTTTCTCCTTGTGAAGATGATCCTTTTCTTCCATCTTTTAATAGAGATGGAGAGCACCTCTTTTTTTCCATTCTGAGTTCTTTTGCCACACTGTATGTGCCTCTTATGAATGGGTACGCAGATCCTGTGTGCTTTGCCCTTGCTCCAAATAGGCAGCTGGCCATAAAAGAGATGTAAACCTGTTAGTACAGCACTATCCAAACGACTATGCACTGTCAATACATCCTCTGGCATTATCTGAACATTGTTTTATTTGTCTGGACTGGAACAGTATTACATTAAATCATTTCAAAGGATGAAAAGGGTATCTACATATCTCTACATATCATATCATACATATCTACATATCTCTAACATCTACCAATATATAGATTATACTATTTTTTTTTTTCTCTGATGCCATGCTTTTTGCACTACACCAGAACTGTTTTGTGCTTGTAGAGAGTCTACCACTGGGCACAGTATCTGTAAAGCAAGCTTCTGGGAAATAGTCCAATGCCACTAACAATAAAGAAGAAATTACTCAGTAAAGAATGATTTAAGTAAAGGAAAATGTGATATCTAAGTCTAATTACATGGTCATTGAATCCTCAACAAGGATATGACTTTGAGATATACCTCTTTATACTTCTTTATTCAAAATACATGTGCAACACCCATTTCAGAAATATAGGCTTCAATTAATCTTAATTAAACCATTTGAAATCCATGCCAATGACACCAAAGTCACTATCAAAACCTTCCTGATTCACCCAGACATAACATAAGAAACAGCATTAGATTGTAATTTAATCTGGAAGTGTTGTACTGGTTATTAACTCTTCAGTTTTGGTTACCATAACACAACTCTGAAATGACTTTAGTGTAAATAAGTTAAGGATTTGGCTTCTTGACAGATTTTTGTACCATTTGGCTCCACACATTGTGAGAGAAAATGACACCTCCAGAGAAGAATTTAACTCCTAAGAGGAACAAACAAACCTTCAGAACTGTTTACCTATCTTCACGGTTTTTGAGAGTGAATTAATTTCTATCTTGTAGATCTTTAGGTTCTTCCCAAAATGTTCTTCCTCTCTTTATGCCCTATGAACATGTCATAAGTTCATCGATCAGCAGAATTCTTCAGTAAATCTCTTCAAAACTAGTCCTGAAGATGGTTTTTGAGGGAAAGATATAGGCAGGCAGCTCAGAGACAGCTCCATATGTGTAGAATATGCCATCATAAGAATATCAATAGGATATGCAAATGCATGGATGCTAGTGATAGAAAGGATTTCAGGACCACTAAAAGAGAAATTATGTAGGTGAAAAAAATACAAACAAAGAGAAACCAAAAAGACTGTCAAAAGATTACTCATTGGGTTCTGTTATGCATGTTTTCCCTTTCTCTTGCTATCACAGGGCATCAACATTCACCATAGTCAAATTCTGCAATAATTCTAAAGTAATTCCTTATTTCTTCTGTAGCAATAATTCTAGAGCAATTCCTTATTTCTTCTCCATCTACTGGTGGACTAGTAGATTGTCTTAGGCTTTGCATTTCATAAACTAATACTATGATCAGTTATCAAAACTTCACACCTATATTTTTTTCACACAGATTAAATACAGGTTAGAATTTTTAGTCCTAGGAACTGTTTCAACAACCTTTCTGCAGAAAGATGCACTTACAATTCTCCGTATGGAAAACGTGTTTCTTACCATCTGTTCCATACTTATAATTCCTTGGTTTATATTAAAGGAAACAGTAAAGTATAGGGACATTATGCATGCAATTGAGGATTTTATAAGGTTCAATAAATTCCCTCTTAACAATCAGTTTTAAGCCTATGTAAATTCTAATCTTTCACCTGCTCTACATTTTGCTCTGCTCTCTACTTTAAGACTAGACATCAATTTTAAGACAAAGTAACAGGATAAACTCCATTTCTCAAAGAGAATCTGCATGGAAGAATTGATAATCTCATCAAAGCTAAAGCCATAGAAATCACCAGCTTCTCTATTTGCCTATTTGGAAGGCAAATTTAAGAATCAGAAGTATTCCAGAGGAAACAGATTTACAGCGTGTTTAGTTTTGTTTTATCCAATGTTCATGTCACAACATCTAATACCTCGTTCCCACAGCTTTTGAGAAATTAAGGTAATGATGGCCTACACCTAGAAAATGATCAGAAAAAAAAAATCTGTTTTAGTTCAAGCGCAAATTATATGAGTATAGGTCAAGAGTGTTGGTGATTGAAATTCAGATCCCTTCTACACCTGAAAAAACATGAATCAATATTTTGCATCACCCATGAGATTGGCCAAGAAATTGAAGTATGCCTAACAATCTTGTTGTCCTTGTAGAGCCAAGTAATCTAATACTAGCATAGGGCTCTACTTTCCTTCTCAGGTGAATGTCTTCCTCTCCTTGCTAGAGAGTTATCCCAGTAATTTGTTAAGAATATGTGACAATATTGAAATTTGTCTTTAGTACACAGCAATGAAGATCTCTCCTTGATTCAAATCTTTTTTCCTCTGAAGAAATGAGAGAGGAAACTTGAATCAGGTTTTCTCCAATTTTTTTTTTTTTTTTCCAAAACTACCTGAGAATTAGCATTACTCATATCAACAATGTTCTGTTTCTGCAAGTCCTTGTTTAAATGTGGCTCTGTTCTTCATAAAGTCGTAAGCCATTTTCATCATGTTTCTGGGCACTTCGTAAGTCTACAAAAAGTTTCTGCTTTTGATCTCCATTTGAAGAATTCCTCTGAATTCTCTTGACATTCCTCAGATTTATGACAGACTATGAGTCACTACTCTCCCTGTCATCTATAAAGATAAGAGAAAAGGGATAGCTCAAATTAGTTTCATTCTTTTTCTAGCGACACGTTCCTTGGCCTCTGGAAATTATACTGAGTTTCCTCATGATAAAACATTGGTATCCAAAGAAAGCCTCATTGACACTGATAATGATGTCCTTTGGCACAGTCTAACATGTTCTGAATTCGGTGCAAGCTGAAGGCCTAACTCAATGGTCTGCTCACTGCAGCAAATGAAGCATCTTGGCATTTACATCATAGCAAACAAAAGCAGATCTGTTCATACGTATTTTTATGCTATAGTTGTGCTATCATCATTGTCTTTGCCATTTCAGGACACAAATAGAAAACTAAAAGAAAAATGTCTATATTGTGCAAGAACATTTCTGCAGAAGGGATGTAAATAAAGAACAGAGAAGAGGTACACATCTGTTTTCATGCAGGTTACCAAATCACCTAGGAGATCTAACATATGTATCCAGGAAATTAATAGTTTTATGGAAAGACTGACAATTTCTAGGAAGTTATATAACAGTAATAACTACTATATATTATAAAAAAATACTAAACAATAACAAATATATTGTTCCTTACTAACTTTACAGCAGTAATTGGACACCAAATGTAGCTCATTACTGATGTGGTTTTAAAGACATAGAGGTTTCTGATTTTGGAAAAGCTTCTGGCAATGCTTCAAAGCACATAAGTCAGGAATTGTTCTGGATTGTTTTTTTTTGTTGTTGTTGTTTCCTTGCAAATTTCCAGAAATAAAATCTACAATGTGTTTTATATCAGTTTTTCTACAATGTCTTTACTAGATAAAGTACTTCTGTCTTTATTTTTCTTTAAAAGATATTAGAACATTGCACTGGAAATATTAATTATTTAGGTTAAATCTCCACTTTTGTAAAATGTACGTGACATAATTCTGGACAGGCAAAATTAACTTCCTGGACCTTGGTGAAACCAGAGATCAGAACTGACAGTTCTTCCAGTATTATATCGGTAAATTTTCCTAAAGCAAAATCAGTGAGATAACAAATTCATTCCTGTTTCACTGCTCTCTTGATGCTCACTTTGGATGTTCATGTGCTAGGCATTACATTGTACCACTGTGACCAACAGCAACGAAGCAGCTCAACCAGCCTTGGGAGAAAGGCCATGGGATTTCTCCTCTCATATGTGGATATCTTCCCATGCTCTGTGGCACAGACAGGGGCCAAGCTGTTACAAGTTTTGTGGAAATCTGTAGTTGCTAAATGCATTGAAATTCCAAGTTTTTTTGTTTGGATTTTTATTCTTTTGTTTGCTTGTTTGTGGCATTGGCAGTCTAAGCTATAGCTGCCTTCCATGAGTTAATACACGTCCATGCACCTTCTTCCTCTTTGCTACAAAAAAAGACAGGTCCCTATCCTTATCTGCTTTCCTTGGGTAAACAGCACCCTCAAAAATTTTCCATCGGTGTTGTGAGAGCTCCCTCTTCTGTTACAAAGGGCTCTATCAGATGCTTTAAAGATTCGGTTTTGGCTTACAGGGCTGAATAACAGGCAAGCTGGCAAACTGGAAGAGAAAGATGTGTCAGGATAAGCAAAGCATCTCCAAGATAAATGTCATGCAAAGGAAAGACCCTGATAGTGGTGGCTGGAGGATGACTTTAGTCCCACCTTTTATAGAATCACAGAATGCCTCGGGTTGGAAAGGACCTTAAAACCTATTCAGTCCCACTCCCTTGCTGTGGGCAGTGTTCCACCCACCAGTTCAGGCTGCCCAGCGCCCCATCTAACCTGGCCTTGTATACCTGCAGGGATGGGGCACCCACAGCTTCTCTGGGCAGCCTGTGCCAGTGTGTCACCACCCTGTCAGTAAAGAATTCCCATTAACATCTGACCTAAATCTCCCCTCTTTTAGTTTAAAACCATTTCCCCTTGTCCTACCACCGTCAGATCACATAAAAAGTCTCTCTCTCTTTCCTTAATCATCTTTTATTCATTTGGTCAAATTCTGTCTTGAATTCACTGGCCATGGACAAGTAGCAAGTGAGATATATAAGGCAAAAGTCAGTCCTTTCAGAAAGAGCCCCTAAAGAAAAAATGAGCAGTTCTTATTTTTGACTTGATCTCTTGTAACATATCATTGGTGGGGAAAAAAAAAAAACAGGTATAAAGTAATGGAGTAGGCTTTTAGATTGACCATTTACTGACAAATGTTCTTGTATAATCTGGTATTGTTTATTTTATTTAATTATTTCATACATAATAATGAAATAAAACAGATACCTCTGTATACTAGAGGACTTGCACAATGGCTCAGAGAACACAAGGAGTACACACAAAGGCAAAAATCACTTCCATTTTGTCTAGCCATTAAGCATTGGCTCTCACAGTAAAAATAAGGGAGTTCGTTATCTTCAAATATCCCTCTCTCAAATACATGCACATCCCCTCTACACACCAAACATAGCAAAGTGATCTTAAGTTCTGAATGTCAGTATTTCTAAGGTGCCAAGAGCCCATAACTGAGATACCCACCTTCAGAAGTCTTTTTTAGCTTGGAAGAGAGAACTTGAAATCAAAAGTAACTGCAATGAGATGATACCACAAGAGAAACAGTCTTCCATTCAGGCAGCTCTTTAACAATTTTAAATGAGTTGTAGAAATGAATTCAGCATAAATTTACAAGTGATTATCAGACATTTCTCTACTTTTACTTTTTACTGATTTCAACATTCAACCCTACACTCAAGATAAGAATTTGGTATCCGAAAATGGGATTTAGATCATATGACTGCTAATGGTGACACATAGGAGTTCTGTTATTCTTTCAGGAGCAGGGGGATGAAGGTGATCCAGAACATTTTTGGGTAAAGAAGTGAGTTTAATTCATGTCTTCCATACTTAAATGAATGTTCAGACATGAGGCCATCCTTTGCACATTTTTCAAAGAACACAGGAACCACCAGTGTATTTTTCTCATATTCACCATTAGAGTAGAACTAAAACTTTCCACATGCGCTTTCTATACTGAGTACTTCTGGACAGGCACAGAAGTAGAACGTGAGCTTCTTGGAGTGTTTAAAAGTTAAATATTGAGAAACTGATGGAGGCAGCTTCTGAGGCTTTTCAGGTTTGGAGTGAGAGCTGAGCAGTGATTTTCATCTTGGACATTCTGATGCCTCATTTCCCCCCTTTTCTCCACAGAGGTACTGAAGTACTTTTGATTTGCAGGATGTAAAAGCAGGGAGGTTCACTGCCCATGATGGGGCTTCACACCTAAGCACTCGTCTAAATGTCTTAGAAAATGTGATTTGTAGGTCATAACCATTACAATTCCAGCTACTTATTCTCTCATACACAAATTTTGCAAATAGCTGGCAGGTAGTGTGGATTAGAAAGCCTGCTTCTTCTGTTTCTGAAAGTTGCTTTTTTTTTTTTTTAATGCAGTCCCTGACCAGAAAACACTTTGGTAGTCTAATCCATATGCTTGTAGAGACAAAACAAACAAGTACATTTGGAAGATGTAGACTACTTCTGCATTAGCGTTTCCTTTTGGGCGAAGGTCATCTGACTTTTTTGCTTCTTGCTCATTAGTAACTATCAGGTTAAACTGAGGCTGTTCTGCCTTTTTCAGATAGTTGAAATAACAGACAGCTCCTTACCCCACATTAATTATCGAACACAAATAGTTGCAAAGGTATTAAATAATTTTACAACTGCTAAAAATGCATATGAACTTTATATGGTGATATTATCATATCCCTTGTTAATATTCCTCAACAGTTTAATAGAATGACTGATGACAATTAAATGTAGTAAACCTCTTTTATTACGGTTTTAGCATGATTTTGCACTATATTTTCTACACGCTAAATCACAGCTTCAGAAGAATCAGAATGAAACATTAAAATGCCAATCACCTGGGGATCATGAAGGGACAATGATGGGGACTGAGCTTAGAGCTAGGATTGATCAGTCGATCCCTCAGGATGGCACTCCTCTTGCTCAAGATGCACTGTAGGATATGAGAGCAACCTTCAATAAGCTAAGGATAAATTCTTGGTGCAAGCAAATACAGGTTGTTGGGGAAAATGATAACATAGACCAAATTCATTGCTTTCAAGTCACTCAACAGAATAGATTAGAATTTGATCTCTGTGTTTTATTCCAGAGCACAAATTTCCTCCAGCATCACGAGATCTCCAGAGCATGCAGGAAGTTTGTAACCTTTTGAAACTTTTTCTCTCTTTGGTCTGTACTTTCTAAATTGCAGAACATAAACCCTGAATTCCATTTTTTCATCACCTTATTATCCCATGGCATCAGGTAAGTCATACAATTTGTCAGCATACAATTTGGCAACAAGTCTTGTTCTGAGTGCATGAAGTAGTTAATATGAGTTGGACATAATTAGCAGAGCTGTTAGCATAAGCTCACGAACTGTAACTGACATTTTGTTTCAAAAATAGATGAAATATGGCATGTTGAAAATAAATAAACAAATAAAATAAAATAAAATAAAATAAAATAAATCCTATCTTTGAATGATTTGTGTGCTCCTGAAAAATAAAAAGTCAAGCTGTGAAAAAACCTGTTGACCATCAAGTGGGAATTTGTCCAAATTTGTTATAAACATCCTCAGTAAGAATCGATAACAGGAGCTGACTGTGAGCACCAACAGTGACTACAGCAAGTCAGAAAAAGAGAGTTTTGTAGAGACAGGTCACCAGGAAGGTATTTTTTACACAACACTACAAGTGGAAATAAATAACTTTCAGAGATACTCCAGGAATGAAGATTCAAGATGGAACCTGGGAAAAAGAACCTTAGAGACATCTGGGAAACTCTGAGGACCCTACAGCCTGGCACTAGCACCGTGCCTCACACAGCTGTGACAGCTGTGCCAACCCATCTCATCTCTCAACCAACCATGGTCACTGCTATCTAGGGACAGAGAAGTCATGAGATTCGTAAAACTGCATATGTCACTGATTAAACGTTAGCCTCCACTGTGCCATTTGATTTTGATATGTGATAGTGTTTTTTGGAAAAAATGCACGTAGAAAAATTTCAGTGAAGAAGGGCTAAGCAGCCTCGAGGTGAAAACCTCTCTTCTTTAAAATCACACTTAAGAAGCACCCAGTAACTCAGGAGAAAGAGTAGACAGACTAAGAAGTTGATTATACAAATGACTGGAACTGAGTAATATTTTGCAAACAGAGAAGTATCAGTACATGAAAAAGGAAAAATGCACTGTGGTGTTAAATCATAAACAAACAAAGTATTATTCAGGTCCCAGATGAAGAAGCCTAAAACCCTTGGCAACGGGGACTACCATTAGTTAAGGAGTTAAGGAGTGATGGGAAAGAAAGAAAATGAATGGCAATTAAAATAATATGATTCTCTAGAAATGTAATAAGATTTTTCTTCTGGAAAACATCTATCATTTATTAAAAGTAATGAATAATTAAATGGGTTTTTCTTATTTTGAATTGACTATTCCAGGAATATAATATTCTGTTAAATACCACTGTATGATTTCAAAGTAACATTAAAATCAGATTTTTTTCTACAGGAACATCTCAGTGAATCTCTTCCCATCTTTCAAAGGGAAATCAGAAGCACTGTTATAGGAGCAACTATGAATTCCAGTTATATGCAGCTGAGGATCAGATATTCAATGATATACAAATAAACACAATCTGATTCTGCATTCGGTCATTTCAGATACATACCAGCTCACTACCACAGAAACAGATGTCTGAATTATACAGTGTTGAAATGAATTTGTGTCCACCAGAGCTGTGATTTCTACAAGGCATAAATTTCTCTCAAAGGTTCATCATATCGTCCAGCCTGAAACATAGTTCTCAATTTGGGCTTGTCAGAAAAAGTATGGGAGGACTTAGAAAAAGTTGCTGAAACTGTTATAGATAAGAAAGTTGGGAGGGAAACTCAGCATTCGGCTTGTGATTGCCCCCAGGTTGTTAGCTCATCTCACTGCTCCATTTTGGAACACGCCAACTAGGAGGGCTATGAAGGAGGCTAGTACTGAACAGTGTGACTGAGAAGCAGTAGAAGTCCATTGGTCTTGGGACTGCTTTCAGGTAGTAACATTGCCATAGTCCAAGACTCTCCACTAAAAAAAAAAGCAAAACAGCAAGAGGAAATCTGTTCAGACAGCCAGTGAAGCTTAGCAGAAGGGCAACCCCTCTTGTACCTCTGGGTGGCCAAGTGTTTATGCTCACAGTCTACTCCAGCTATACATATAAGTCCTGTGAAGAGACATCCCAAAACTGACAGCCAGCTCCCCATAGTGAGGAAGTTGGACCAATCTGTCAAATTACTGGTAAGTATCTATTACACTGTCTTTTGTAACTCCCAGTAAGATAGTCTAACAAGATAACACTTTGAATAATGTATCTCAGGATAGAAAATTATGAAACACAGATGCCTCACTGTCTTACAATCATATGTCATTCTTCTGTCCTACTTTATTTGGCTTTGACAAGTTGACTGGTAAGTGGTAGGATAGTTACATTGGTTCTTTGTTTTCTCATCTGCATTTTCTGAGCCTGAGTATGAATGTTAACATGGCTTTCAATCAATTTTGCAAGTTATTAAATCTGTTTATCCCTAAGCAGGGAAATGCCAGAGGAAGTGGTAGATTGGCCAAGTCTAGCTCTTCTATTGAGAGACTCGGTATACCTGTGGTATGCGCTGGGATCTTTTTCAAGGATAATCTTGACATCTGATCTCTGATGTAATTAGCACAATTGCAAATTTTCACAAGGGATTCTCTGTTCTTGTCAAAATCTTTACCATAACAACCTTTGAATTACAATACAGCAGTAAGTGTACTACAGTGCTCAGTAGAGGAAAAGATACAGTAGGAACATCTCTAAATGAAATTAATTAGAATGGTTAATGTTCGTGAAGCACTTTGAAGTTGGAAAGAGCTATAGTAGTGTTAAATTATAATCATTAGCATGCCAAATCCTGGAGGTCTTATTCATTTATTACCCATTTGTTACACAGCTAAACTTCCACTCACTTTAGTAGAAGATTTATCTGAATGAGATATGACTACAGATTTCAAAATTCATAAAATAATAACAGTAAATATAGATTAATGCACCAATCATTCAGTAAGAAGTGGCTGTTCATAGCCCCTTATACTCGAGTCTGCTTCAGATTGAGACAGATGGAGAAATCCTTGGACCAAATAGTTCCATTGTTCATTTAATTTGCAAAATGAAACAAAACAGTGCATCAGATGAGATATAGCCTCCAAATCCAGGAGAAGCAGGAAGAGAAGGAAAGATAGGAACCACAGCCAGTACAAGCAACTAAGAGACACAGCAGTCTGTGCAGCAGTTTTATAGTATCACGGAATATTTGAGGTTGGAAGGTAGTATTGGAGATCACTTAGTCCAACACTCTGCTCAAAGCAGATTAAACAGATTGTCTCCAAAATCCTGCAGCTTCAAGAGCCTGAACCCTCAGCAGTACTGAAGGAGGGACAGCCAAGTCTGAGCTTATCAGTCAGGGAAATGGAGACTCTCAAAATGAAAAAGGCTGGCCATTCATGGCTTATGGCACCAAGAAGACGGCTTGCACTCTGCCAGCAGATATGGAACTATGCAGTAGCAAATGAGACTGTGTCCAAAGAAGCCTCTGAGTTCGCTGAGCCTCAGCCACAGAACAGTCCCTGCCACTCCAAAATGCCTGTACATTAATACACACAAAATAGGGAATAAACTGGAAGGATTAGATATCTGCATGAAGTTACAGTTCTCCTCTCCGTGCAGTTTCACAGGGATCAGAGAGAGGTGGTGAGATAGTTCACGTGACTGGAGTGTTGCAACGAGTGGATATAGGCTTTTTAAAATAAGCAGGGTGGGACAGCAAGGAGAATTGCCCTTTTGTTAAATGCATGGGGCTCTTCCTGGGGACAGGTGATGAGCAAAGTGAGAGCTTATGATTTAGAAGTAGAGGCCAAACCAAGAGGGACAGCGCTGATACCTGCCACAGGATGCTTAACTGGGAAAAAAAGTATAGGAAGCTTCCAAAAAAATGGAAACTGCATCCTATTTGAAGACCTTGGTCTTCATGGAGTATTTTAACCATCCTAATATCCACTAAAGGTACTACGTAAGATCTACTAAAGCAACACAAAAGTAATCCAGGGAGTTTCTGGAGTGACTTGGTAATTTCTTGACACAGACAAAAAAGGAATCAAGAAGGTGAGGGAAAATTTCTGCAGAGAATTACAAACAAGAAAGTAAAGGTCCATGATGGTCAGAGTCAGCATTGTCTACAGCGACCATGAAATAGAGGAGTTCAGAATCCTGACAGGAGGGAGCAAAACAAATAGCCGAATCATAATACTGGACTTCAGGAGAGAAGACTTTGACCTGCTCAGAGATATGCTTGGAAGAATCATGGGACATCATCCTGGAGAGAAGAAGGGTGTAGGAAAGAATGGTCAATTCTAATGAGAATAAAATCAAGTAAAGGCAGTAGGAGGCCTGCATGAGTGATCAAGTAGCTCCTCACAAAATACAGATACACAGGGAAAACATAAAGGGCATAGAATCAGTGGCAAGTGACCCAGCGGGAACTTAAAGATATTGTGAAATCATGAAAACACAGAAGCACATTTAGATTTGAATATGATACAGTGATTGGCAGAAGTTTCTGAGGCCTGAAACAAGATAAAAGTCACTTCAACAAGGGCAAGACGGAAGATCCACAGTACTGTAAACTTGTCGGCTTCATCCCAATATTTGGAGAGGGGATGGAGAAAATAATCCCAGTAATATTTTCCAGAAAATAATTTAAGGTGTCTCAGAACAGTCAGCATGATTACATAAAGGGGAATTTACATCTTACCAAGCCTTTTATCAACAGATGACTTGTTTTTGGTAGATGGGGTCCCTGCAGCATTTGTTGCCTGTTTTGACTTCAGTAAGGCATTCAAGACTGGCTATCATAATATACTTACTGATAAAATAATGCAGAACAGGTTTTATAAATGGAAAATGGGGCAGACTGAAAGCCCAAACTAATTGCTTTAAATTTATGTGATCACTGATACAAGGTCTATTTGGAGGCCAGTCTTAAGCAGTATATCCAAGGGGACAGTAATATTTCCAAAACTGTAGAATTTTGCACAGGTTTGGGACATCTTGTCTAGAACAATGGGAGTGAATGCACCCTCAGCAAAAATTGTACGGGTGCAAAGCTGGGAAGAGTTGCTGATGCACAAGACAGTTGTGTTGCTATTCAAAAGAACCTTGCCAAAATTGAATAGTAGACCATCTTGAACCTCCTGAAGATCCAAAGACAATTGCCAAATACTGCATGTAGAGCAAAATATCCCTCTGAATCTGTACACACTCAGAACTGACAAGTTGAAAAGCAGATTTACAGAGAAGGGCATATAGATCTGGTGTGCAATGAGTAGATCATAAGCCTGTATTGTGCCTTTGCAAAAAAAAAATTAGAAAGACAATGCCATACTAGACTGCAAGAAGACTATTACCAGTAGATTGAAGGAGATAATCCTTACCTCTTAGAGAGACTGGAGAAGACAAAGCAAGGCTCTTCACAGTGGAGTCTAGTGACAGTACAGGCAATGGACATAAACTGAAATACCATAAAAGTCCATGCAAACATAAGAAAACACATTTTTGTTCTGAAGATGGTCAAATATAGGCAAGGTTGCCTAGATGTTGCAGAGTACCCATCGTTGACAGAGAAAAAGGAACAGGTGGGAAGAGGATGCCCCTCACAGATAGCTGTGATCCTGCATAATAATTCACACATCTAGTTTTAGAAAAGTGAAATGCTTTGCAAAAGGTTACCTAGGTGACAGGCACAGAAGGTGTAATTTTACTTGCACCTCATTCTCCAAAAATAGTCATTTATTAACTCTTCCTGCCTTCTCTTTCTTCTCTTTTACTCTCTTCAGTTCCTCAGACTATACTGGCCAAAGATTGGTAAAAGAATCCAAAGTAAAATTAGCAGTAATATATGACATAAATTGCCATCCAACACTCTAGTTGTGAAGAAAGCTCACTTACAGCTCTTTCCTACAAAAATAGTGCCCATAACACATAGCCTTTTGAAAATTAGTTACTTAGAAACAAACAAACAAACAAGGCCAGATTCTGCTCAGTTTATTACTCAATTCCTAGTAAAGCTACAAGAACTCCTTTGGAAAAGCAGTCAATGAGATTTTGACTTTTATGCTGTAGACTTCCTTTTTTTCCTTGGTAAGATTTCTGCAAATAGAACAGATCTCACCCAAAATTTCTTTAGTGAGCAGCCGTCCACAGGGAGCACACGTCAAATTGTGAGTTACAGTAATGTCCAGCTTTCCCAGCTCTTGCTGATAGCTTGGCAACTACTCCAGTACTCCAAGGGTTTGTTGAACAGTAAACAGAAGCTGCAGCTGGCCAAGAAGCTAGAAGAAAACATAAATTTAGAACAAGGCTTTTTTTCGTTCTTGCTTAAAGCCACATTAACTGTGAAGGGGTCTGTATGACAGGGATGAGAGTGCTGATGAGAAGAAGGTACATACAGACTTCTTACAGAGAATTTAAAATATTGATTAGCAGTATCAAAACATTTTGGCTACGTGCAAGTCCTGTATATTATCATAGTGCCAGGAAAGTACATGGCACCTTTGAGTCAAATAAAAGTTCTGGTTTCTGCACATAATCTACATTTAGGCAGAAGATAATAACACATGGAGTGAGGAAATGAAGATAATTGTTCCCCCAATGGTATCACATGAAAACTTGAGTTGACTTTAACTGTTGTGGCTCTGTACTTATGTACTGCAAACCCCTCTTGTAAGCACAATGTGGATCCTCCGGAATTGGATAACTTCAGCACAGTGTGCCATTGTAAACCTCTTTGTAACTCCTAGTAGAGAGGATAAAGTGCTTTGATCACATAGGTATCCCAGTCCAGGCATTTAGATTGCACCTTCTCGTGTAGATGCCCAAGTTACACTTGCAAAGTCCTCATAGAGCAGATGGAGAGACACTGACTTCTAATTCAGACTCTTGTCTCCTGCCCCTTCATTGACTGAGCAACGAGCCTGAGCTTCTGCAGTGGGATATATCTCACCTAATTTTAGCAATCTAAATGTTCAATACTTGGCTGAGCTAGTCTCCAAGCTGCTTCTACATTCAATGAAGAGAGATGAGTATTTCCAAGTATATGTTAGTGTACTCAACTTAGACACTTATTCTGAGATGGGATAACTTACCTTCTCTAAAAAGGAACCTGACTCAACGTTATAGCAGTGCCCATATGAACAGTTCAGAATAAATGCCTGTGGTCTATACAGTGTATGATAGAAACTTCTCTGTAAAAACTTAAAAACATGCTAATTATTAAGCAGCATAAAAATAACACCCAAAACTCTAGCATTTTTGTCTCAGTGCCATGAAAGAATCATTGGTACCTGAATTAGGTGTCTATTTTATTCTAATATACTATTACAGTTCTTGCAGACACAAATACTCCAAAAATCATGGTGCTGTTAAATTCAGTGGCATAATATAGATGAGAGTTCAAATACATTTAAAAGATGATAAGCAAAGTCTCTTATCCATATCCCACTCTCAATACTCTATTAAATTAAGATGTAAGCTTCTTTTGAGAGAGGAAGAATAGCCTGTCAGATGGTACAACCGATAATTTATTGAAGGAAAATCAGCAAATTGTAACATTTTTTAAATATTATGAAAATATTTTGTTGGGTTATGTTAAAACTTTTCCAATAAGCCAAACTGGCAAGAAGGGACTGAAAATATACACGTTGATATATCTCTCTTTAATAATTTAATATAAAAAGAGAATACAATGAAATGAACTGTCAAGTATAAAAATCCTTTTAGTATTCTCTTTTCATGTTCAAAATCTTTGTTGTGTTTGAGCATCCATAATTGCTCTGCGTCAGGTTCCCTAAGACATTTCCATCTGTCTGTCAGAAAGTTTGAAAATATTCTTTGGCACTTTCAGCTTTAATAGAAATCAAATATTTTTTAACGTGCAAGGCAAATTCTGGTGCTTGTTTATTCTTTGCCCTTCTGTTGTGATCACTGGGACCATCTCTCACTTCAGCGTGATACATGTATATTACTATTTGCACCACCACGCACAGTTCATAACTTGGGATAATCCATAAGGGCATTGCATGCATCATTCCTTCTGCTTAGCCATTGAAATAACTTTACTCAGAATCAAAAAGCTGAATGAAACAGCTGAGCCTGGCAAACAGAGCAGCTAACCAGGGAGTTTCTGAAAGGCTAGCTGCAGAGTCCATGCTCACTGGTAGCACAGTGTGAAAAGGTGAGTTGGGAGAGCATTTGCATGCGTGTGTATGTCTATTTCCTACTCAAGTTTCATCCTTTGGGAAGTCTGTGAGGATAGTCTCTCAGTCTCCTATCCAGCCTCCTGATCGGCTTGTTGGTGTTTCAGTGGGACCCATCTGGCTGTGCTTAGCAGATCTTTGATCAGAATCAGTGCTTGAAATCATCAAGTAGCTAAGCCTTCTCAGATTACTGAGGGAATGAGACTCTGCAGCAAGAATTTTTATATAAACAATTTTCCAGCGAAGATTTGGAGGCAGACACACGAAGGAGGAACAGAGGAAAAGAAACCACGTAGCATACAGAAAGGATATTTGGAGAAAACACATTTGGAAAAAATTACTGTTGCAGAATCAGAGGAAGAACTTGTCACTAAGGAACAAGCTCTAGTGCAAATCAGGGTCTGCAACAGAAAGGATAAGGAAGCTGTTTTACATTCCACAAAATACTTATGTATGAGCCACTGACAAAGTGCTGTACAAGTGATCTGGAAGGTTTATGGATCAATTTCCTAGCCAATATAGTACAAGGTAGGGCACAAGCCAGTGGTTCAGATCATCATTTCACATTTCAGAACGTCATGAATAGCTTTTTAAAAACCTGCCTGTCCTACATAAGGAAAAAAAACCAAGAAGCAGACATCTCAACATTAGTGATACATATTAGAGATATATCAGTAGAGAAAGAACTTCAGAATTTCTTAAATAAAATAATACAAAAAAAAAAAAAAAAATTGACAATTTTCTAACTCAATAATGTCATGCAAAGATAAATTTGATTGCATCTTGGCAGATAAAAGGGCACTGATCTAAGATCTAAAAGCAAATATTGTTTTAGGAGCAAGTTATCATGAGTTAATTACATTCATTATATGCAGTCAGAACAGAAAGTTCAAATAAGTAATGATTGGTGACTTAAAACAGAGAGGTTCATAGAGCTGAAAACAACTACAGGCTGATGTAACTGGAGAGAGGTATGAATAATGTTGGAAACTTATTAATTATTTCATTTGATGGCCAAAAAAACTACCATCCCGCATCTGAATAAAATGAAGAATGAGGTGATTATAGTTATAAAACAACTCAACTTGAGCAGAGAGAACAAAAGCACCTGCAAAAGCTAAAATATTTTTGTGATCTGTGTGTGTGCATGTGAGTGTGTTTGTAATAAGAAAAAAAAAAGGCAACATGACAGAAAAGGGTATAAATTTAGAAGCTAGAAAGTTCAGGAAACAGATTAAGAAAGGAAACAAAAATAATCAAGTAAAAAGCAAGGATGTAGCTGTCACAGGTAATAAAATATATGAACACAAGTAATCCTGCCAGAGGTGCTGGTTCTTTTCTAGACGAATAGGGTAAAGCTTTCAATAACAAAACAGAAAAGAAAAAAAGGGCTCGAAAATATTTCCGTTGTTTATTTGGAAAAAAAAGGATTAAATATATTCAGATTATAGGAAAATGATAAGTACATTCAGTTTAACAAGGAATTTTTCAGAGGCTTTCTTTACAAGCGAAGAAATATAACAAAGAACAAAAAGATTTTCATTACTTTTGTTTTAGAAGAGAAACGATCTTTGAATGAGATTTAATCTGTTACCTGGATCTATATTTAGAAATGTTATAAACAAGTCATTTGTTAGCCAGAGGGGTCCAGGGGAAACATTAAGCAGGGAACCTACATTTTTTAAAGAAATCATTTTGAACTCCTAAAGCCGCTTCAAACTCCTAAAGCACTGAACAGATTTACTTCTTCATCTTGAAATGGCGATGCTTTCTTCAATAGAACGTGTGCTATTTGTAAGGCACTTCACAAAGTCTTGTATAAATTCTTTCTGAGCATCTGATGAGATGCTGTGTTTGTGGCAAGACAGGATGTCAGTGTCTGCTGCTTTTGAAGGCAGACTTCTTGTGGAAGGTTGTATATAAATACATATTAAGGAAGAATGTTTTAATATAACATCTGAGACATAAATATTCATTTCCTGCTGCAGACTATAGATGAACAAGGTGAACAAGGTATTCTAATTCCTTATGATTCTTATGGTTTACTTCTCCAATCTGTTGTTCCTTGATCCCAAGTTTTTAGTGTCAAGCAAAATACTTCCTTTGCAATAAGTTTCCTGGATTTGAGGAAGGAAAATATGCAGTGCTGAAAGCATATAAAGGTTGCAGAGGGCAATATAGTTGAATCATTCCTGTCTTTGAGAGTCTGCAATCTTCAGTGTGATTAAAACATTTCAGAATTCCTGAAGCTTATAAAAGGTAAATAAATAATTAAATAAAGAGACAGATTTTTTAAAACAATGTAGTAAATTAAAAAAAAAAAAAAAAAAAAAAAAAAAAAAAGAAATCAGCCTCCTTAGATAAATACCAGTTCCTTAATTGTTTGTTTGACTGGTTGACTGCCAAAAACCTCTATAACATAAGCAACAGATATCAGTGAGACTGACATGCTCAAAAGCAAGCTGGTCTAGAGGCCATAGAACCAGAGCTGTGAGGGTGACAGAGCACTGGTACACGCTGCCCAGAGAGGTTGTGGTCTCCTTCTCTGGAGGTACTCAAAAGCCACCTGAACACTTTCCTGTGTGACCTGCTGTAGGGAACCTCCTGTAGCCAGAAGGTGGACTAGGAGATCCCCAAAGGTCCCTTACAACCCCTGTGATTCTGTAATTATGGCTAAGATCTCAGTACAAGCCCATTTCAATTGATGCTAAATATCAAAGTTCTCGTTCACTGCAGCTGACAGGAAAACAGCATTTTCTGTGGGAGTATTTTACATCTCTTATCAAACCCATGTGAACATTCTCTTTTTTTTTTTTTTTATCTAATTAAAAATAAACAAGACTGACACCTTTTTCTTCCCATTTGTAATATTTGGAACGCACAAACCCGTGTACTTTTACACCTAAGTAAAGGAAGAAAATATTTGCCTCCAAAGTTTTCATCTAAAAAAACGAAATGCAAAAGTATGTTAATAAAAGCAACTCCTTCCACTGGTTATTATCCTCCTTTCTCACTCATGCATATTACTGTGATCCAAGCAGAGAATGAGCAGATATTCAGACCTTTCTTAGCATGCA